TCCTGGGGAACAGATTCATCCCAGCCTACACCCGATTGCCAAAGGGTTTGCAGAAGGATTTTCGCCACTACTACGGTTGGCCCGAGTAGTCCCATAGGATCAAATAGCTTAGCCAATTCTGAAAGTATTGATCGTTTCGTAATGGTGCGTGAAGATGGCAAGGGATTTAAAGAAAAACAAAAAAGATCATCTCTCATGTCCCACCCAGTACCTAATACGCGGAAATTGTTGTCCTTGTCGAAAGGCACGACTCTGTCACTTCGATCGCTAATACCCGCTAATAACTCAGGGCAATTAGACCCCCATTTGCTAAGCTCAAAAGAGCCTAATCTTAATAATGGTATTATCTGATCGCGTATTGCTAATGCTTCCTGCTTCGAGTCAGCTCCGGTGAGCATATCGTCCATGTAAAAGTCACGCTTTAGAATCAAAGACGCTATCGGGAATTCCTTTTCGTATCGCTCTGCTAAATCGATGAGACATCTTATGACCAAAAAGGCAGCTGCGGCTTCGCCAAACGTGACAACGAGCGACTCAAATATTTGAACGTCTAAAGTTTTGTCATCGCGCCATAGAAATCTCTGCAGTTTCGTTTGAGATGGATGGACCAATACCTGCCGATACATTTTAACTATGTCTGCCACGAGAACGTAAAGATGAATCCTAAACCTTAAAAGTATGGAGAAAAGATCATCCTGAATAACCGGCCCTACCATCATTATATCGTTTAATGAAAGTCCGCTATCCGCTTTGCAGGATGCGTCGAAAACTACGCGGAGCTTAGTGCTCTTGGCATCCTCTTTCAACACGCAGTGATGAGGCATGTAATAAGCACCGGGTTCATTTGGATCCTCCTCCAATATCTGACGTACGTGACCTAGATCGATATATTCATGTATGAAGTTCGAGTATCGCACCCTTAAATTGGGATCCTTATCGAAACGTCTTTCCAACGAACGTAAACGATTTAGCGCAATATCCCTTGATGTGCCTAAATTATCGACTAATTGTTGCTTAAGCGGTAGTTGAACCACGTATCTACCTTGCTCGTTCCGTAACGTCGTCTTTACGAAGTGTTGTTCACAAAGCCTTTCTTCTATAGTGTATGTTTTAGAACCTCCCCTAAAATCCTCCATCTTCCAAAAGTTTGTGAGCTGATCGTTCAATTCGACATTACTAACTGAAGCGTGTAGGGAAGTAACACATAGAGAACGCGAAGGACATTTGTTAAGCTTGCCTGCCAATATCCATCCTAATCTAGTTTTCTGCAACGTTGGATGTTTATCAGATGCCCTAATCTGTCCTATACATATAAGACTCCAGAATACTTCCGTGCCAATCAACACGTCGACGCCAGAGGAGACGTTAAACTGAGGATCTGCTAGAGGGATGTTGCGAGGAATATCAAATGATTGGCGTTTGACAGTGAACGCAGGAAGGTCGTCCGTTATGTGGTCAACAACAATACAATCCAGGACCCATGAAAAGGCACTTATTCTAGAAGTTAATTTAATTTGGACCGCTTGCTTGGCTTGTGTTGCCGTTCCGCTTATACCTGACACCGAGATTTCTATTGAACGAGGGACTAGCCCTAAAGCGACTGAAAGGTTTTTAGTTATGAAGTTGGCTTGCGACCCGGAGTCTAGAAGAACTCGACAAGAACGTTGCGAGCCGTCCTTATTTTGAACGAACACAACTGCTGTGGATAAAAGAGAGCTGGCACTCGATGCTGAACTCGAAGAATGTGTTACTACCACACTGGATCCGTTTGATTCCGTTGAGCTCGAAATGCTAGACTCTTGTTTCGGGCCTTCGATCGCCTTGGTTTGCTCGGTAGCGGCGCCTGGAATATGTAGTAACGTATTATGCTTGCGGGAGCAAGTTTTGCAGCCCCCTGACGGACACTTATTGGCGATATGAGCCGTTGAACGCAAACAATTCAAACACAACTTGCGAGATCGAATATTTTCTATGCGCTGAGCGACAGTTAAGTCCAAAAATGTTTTGCATTGGTATACAAGATGCTCGCCGTTACAAAAAACGCATTTCGCCTTGACGGCCGTATTACACGACGTTTTCTGCTTACCGTTTACTTGTGATCGCGAATTCACATTCTTTGCCGAGGCGCTACTCGGCTTCTGCGTTGACTCGATAATGTGACATTGGTGTGACAAAAAATCTAAAAATTGTTTAAATGTGGGTAGTTCATCGCCGACCAGTGACCTTCGCCATTCGCGGCTTGTGACCGCGTCGAGTTTAGAACTAAGCAAATAAATCAACAGATCGTCCCAATTATGTGTAGGACGCTTTAACGCCTTTAACGCTTGAATATGACGAGATGCTCCGTCCGTGATTTGACGCAACTCGGATATATTTTCTTTGTTCATAACGGGCAACTTCACAATGGCTTTAAGGTGATTCTGTACTATAACACGTTTGTTATCGTATCTTTCTATCAATAAATCCCACGCGACCGAGTAATTTTCGTCTGCAATTTCTAGCGAGCTTATTACGTTATACGCCTCACCGGTGGTTGATCCCATCAAATACCGCAATTTACTGATATCGCGCAGATTCGAATCATGTATGGCCGAGCGGAACGCATCTCTAAAAGGGAACTACTCGTCATATTTTCCCGAAAATTTAGGCAATTCTAGTTTCGGCAGCTTAATGTCAGACACGTACTGCGAATTGGAAGCACCCGATACCGTCGGCAGCGGTGTATCAATAACGAGCGACGTAGGCGCAGATAATGTTAAGGCTCGAATTCTGGCTGATAATTCGAAGAACGCTTCTTCGAAACCCGCGCGATCGTTCTCTTCGGCCTCATCTAACTCTTCTATTTGTGTTTGTACATCGTTATATTCAGTCCAAAACTGTTCTAGCTTGTTCTTACGCTCCTCTAATTGCGCGGCTACCGTGGGCGTAACGGACGCGATGCTATCCACGTACGTTTTTACGCGCGTACATGATCCCTTAAGAGACCTACGACGTCTTTTTAAATTAGCGAGATCTGTTTCATCGGCCATGTTCGCTATTAATAACGCGAATGCGGACGAAGAATAAACACTTTTTCTGGTTGGCGGTAAACCGAAGTGAGTTTTCCCTACCTGTGGGTAAACGGACAGTGGCCGAGTACTCGTCGGTAACAAGGAGGCGCGCTATGCCGACGCGCTGCTAAGATGGCGGCGGTGACGGTTGACTCGAGAATTTTCCCGCGCTGGATATTTCCGGAACCTCCCCGCACTGGCTGCCTCTAGAACCTTCCCGCGCTAGCTGCCTCTGGAACCTTCCCGCGCTAGCTGCCTCTGGAACCTTCCCGCGCTAGCTCGCCGGTTCTCGGTGATGCAAATGGCAGGAACTTCTAAAGATGTATCTATCCCCTCGATGAGATCTTCTGCTTCGCCGGCAGAACGGAATGCTAATGAGCTGCTGTTGCTCGGAAGACGATGGTTTTCGTCTTCCCGCTGGTAGAGTCTCGCGTGTGAGAATCTCGTCGATCCGGCTGAGATCGCTGAGTCTTAGGCTAATGGCGTATGCGTGGATGCCCGAATATCTCCGTAGGTCGTACCGTCTGGCGATATCCGGCTCGAAGGACCATAAATTTGTTGCGTATCTTGAAGCCTCATATGCAATCGCATGTGCGATTATGTCTGGACTTCTCCCGTCGTATCACTCGAATTTCGGAGGATGGGACGGTCAGGAAATCTTTCCTTTAGTTTTATTAAAAGACACTTTATTTGCCACGACGCCACTGCTCTCGATCACAATAATCTCGTTAAAAGCAACTGACTGCCTCACTCTTATCTTAACGCCGGATGGAAAACTGTTGTGCGTGTGCACGCAGCGAGATTCTAGCGAGAACTGGCTCTCGACTCCCGAGCACAAACAAAAAACGCCGAAGGCGCACGATCGCGAGAGATCGAGTGACGCTACAGCGCAAGCGCAGTCGAAGTGAAGAACATGTATACGCCAAGTCCTAACAAAGCCGCCCGCCTTGAAGGGTTCTCCTTCAATAATTGTACTTGAAATTAAGAAAGGATATAAACTAAAAATATTATTAGAATGAGCTCTAACAAGCCTAGAGCATTAGCCGATAACCAAGCAATGGGCGGGTAATTCGAGCAATTAAAAGATCCTCTTTAAAACTAAGCTGGATAAAACATAAGAACGCGAACGTAGGTTGACTTAAGACCAATTATAAACTTAAGACTACTTTCACATATTCGAACGAATTTCAATTCCGCATCTAAACAATGAGACAAACAATCATTCTTAAATCCTAATGAAAACGCGCGAGTTAGAGCGGGAGTACCGCTAATTTGGTCAATGGCTTGTCGTAAGACCCTTTGGTCGTTTTAACAGTGGCTGAACGAGCCACACCGTCCGCTCCCAGATGCACTCGTTCTATTCGGCCGGTTAACCATTGCAATGGTGCCAGGCCTTGCTGCTTTATTATTACTAACTGTCCTGGCTCTAATTGCTGGCCCTTAGCCCGTTGCCATTTGTGGCGTTCCTGAAGGGAGTTTAAATATTCGTTGCGCCATCTCGTCCAAAAATTCTGAAGCATTTGCTGAATCGTCTGCCATCGTGTGAGTCGATTTACGTTTACATCACTTAAATCGGACACGGAAAATTATTCAACGGCGCGCCAACCAGAAAATGCCCGGGACTTAAGTAAACCATATCATTAGGGTCGGAGCTCAGCGGCGTCAGAGGTCGCGAGTTCAATACGGCTTCAATTTCGCACAAAACCGTTACCATCTCTTCGAAAGTTAAATTCTGCCCACCTACTATTCGTACGAGGTGGTATTTCACGGATTTAACCGCTGCCTCCCAAAGGCCCCCAAAATGCGGAGCATTAGGAGGTATAAAATTCCAGGTGGTTTCATGACCGCGTAAGAAATGCCCTATCGCCGCTTGGGTTTCATCAATTCGCAAAAAGTCGTAAAACTCTTTTAATTGCCTCTGAGCTCCAACGAATGTCGTCGCATTGTCGGAATACATTTGGTCAGGCTTTCCTCTTCGCGAAATAAGCCTTTTTAGCGCAGCAATAAATGCGTCGGTAGTAAGATCGCTGACTATTTCTAAATGCACTGCCTTCGTCGCAAAGCAAACGAAAACGGCTATGTAAGCCTTACGATTTCGCGAATTACGTCGACTCCCTTCTCGCAAGGTCACTGGTCCGGCATAATCTACTCCGCAATGAGAAAAAGGGCGAGAGATTGTGACTCTAGATGCCGGTAAAGTGCCTATTGGAGCCTCGGAAAAGACAGGGCGCGACTTGAAACAAACGATACAACTGTTGATAATCTTTCGCGCAGTTGACCTTAATGCTAGTGGCCAAAACCGCTGTCTAACGGACGCCATGGTAGCCTGCAAACCGGCGTGAAGGTTGCGTAAATGTTCGTGTTCTATTATTTGTTTGGTTAATCTATGATTCCGCGGAAGTACTATTTGATGACAGGCTTCATAACCTAGTTCCGAATTATTCAACCTGCCCCCGACTCTGATTAAATTATCGCCATCCATAAACGGAGCTAAAGTTTTTAACTTACTAGAATTATTAACATTCTCCCGCCTGCTTAACGAAGCATATTCTTCGGGAAAACTCTGCCTTTGAATCATTCTGCATAAGAAATTTAATGAGAGCGATATTTCCTGCGGAGACACCCTTACCGTAGATGCCTTGGCCTGGTTGGGCGTAAAAAACCTACGACAGTACGCTACGATCCTGCACGTTTTATTTAGGTTAGAAGACCTGTCAATCAAGTCGTTCAAAGTGCCGAAGTCGAAAGAAGAAGCAGCCATACAAGCTACTTTCTGCTCAGGAAGGTCCTCAGTAAGAACCTCAAATTCGCTACTAGGCCAATCGCACTCAGGTAGCCTCAAATAAGAAGGGCCATGCCACCACAATTCGCAATCTACTAACTCACTTGGGAGCAACCCTCTGGACAAACGTCCGCAGGATTATTAGATGACTTGACATGTCGCCAATTGGAAGTTTCCGTCAATCTTTGAATCTCTCCCACTCGGTTAGCTACAAATGTTGACCATTTACGGGAATGGGAGTTTATCCAATTAAGCGTTATGGTTGAATCGGACCACAACCGTATACTCATGCCTATCGTGTCGATAGCTGACTTGACCTTATCCATCAATTGGGACAACAACAATGCCGCGGCCAATTCAAGACGAGGGAGAGAAATAGCCTTGACAGGAGCTACACGGGATTTCGAGCAAAGGAGATGAGAAGCATAGCTTTCTGGACCCAATTGAGTGCGAACGTAAACGCAAGCGCCATAGGCTCGTTCGCTCGCGTCACAAAACCCATGAATTTGTATAAACCGTGCCTCTGCTCGTTGCTTGACACACCGCGGTATTCGCAATTTATCGATGTTTGAAAGTTGTAACCTAAACTGCAACCACTTAGTGTGGACCTCCTGGGGAACAGATTCATCCCAGCCTACACCCGATTGCCAAAGGGTTTGCAGAAGGATTTTCGCCACTACTACGGTTGGCCCGAGTAGTCCCATAGGATCAAATAGCTTAGCCAATTCTGAAAGTATTGATCGTTTCGTAATGGTGCGTGAAGATGGCAAGGGATTTAAAGAAAAACAAAAAAGATCATCTCTCATGTCCCACCCAGTACCTAATACGCGGAAATTGTTGTCCTTGTCGAAAGGCACGACTCTGTCACTTCGATCGCTAATACCCGCTAATAACTCAGGGCAATTAGACCCCCATTTGCTAAGCTCAAAAGAGCCTAATCTTAATAATGGTATTATCTGATCGCGTATTGCTAATGCTTCCTGCTTCGAGTCAGCTCCGGTGAGCATATCGTCCATGTAAAAGTCACGCTTTAGAATCAAAGACGCTATCGGGAATTCCTTTTCGTATCGCTCTGCTAAATCGATGAGACATCTTATGACCAAAAAGGCAGCTGCGGCTTCGCCAAACGTGACAACGAGCGACTCAAATATTTGAACGTCTAAAGTTTTGTCATCGCGCCATAGAAATCTCTGCAGTTTCGTTTGAGATGGATGGACCAATACCTGCCGATACATTTTAACTATGTCTGCCACGAGAACGTAAAGATGAATCCTAAACCTTAAAAGTATGGAGAAAAGATCATCCTGAATAACCGGCCCTACCATCATTATATCGTTTAATGAAAGTCCGCTATCCGCTTTGCAGGATGCGTCGAAAACTACGCGGAGCTTAGTGCTCTTGGCATCCTCTTTCAACACGCAGTGATGAGGCATGTAATAAGCACCGGGTTCATTTGGATCCTCCTCCAATATCTGACGTACGTGACCTAGATCGATATATTCATGTATGAAGTTCGAGTATCGCACCCTTAAATTGGGATCCTTATCGAAACGTCTTTCCAACGAACGTAAACGATTTAGCGCAATATCCCTTGATGTGCCTAAATTATCGACTAATTGTTGCTTAAGCGGTAGTTGAACCACGTATCTACCTTGCTCGTTCCGTAACGTCGTCTTTACGAAGTGTTGTTCACAAAGCCTTTCTTCTATAG